AAGGCACATCTTGCCAAGATGGAACATTCAAAGTTTCCACGGCCCTTCAGGGAAGCAGGAAATGAAAAACTGCAGCGCACTGACCACACAGGCGTCTGCAGCGCACTGACCCTGCAGGCTCCTGCGCAGCCTGTGTTGTTGAGAGGAAAAGCGCCTCAGACTCAGAAACAGGGCTGTCAGGTCCTGCCAGGAGCACGGAAGAGATGCAAGAGGGCTGGAAAGTGTGTGTGTGTGTGTGTGTGTGTGTGTGTGTGTGTGTGTGTGTGTCTTGGTGCATCTCCTGCTAAGTACTTCCTTCACGACACAGCTAATCCGATTAGCAGCTTTAGGAAACTCCAAAGCGTTCATTCAAGAGCTCCATTCACAGAGCAGCTAGGCCCATGCCTGCTCGGGGCTCCATTCTTCTCACAGCAAATCCAAAGCATACAGAGGGGCTCTCTCCGGAGGACAGGCTCTTGCCTCCTGGCCCCATGCACGTCCAAACGCCACCACCACATCCTCCGGTCAGTCAGCTAGCTCCCGGGACTGGGGACTGAGCCCATTCAAAAATGGAGAAGCTAAAACTCTTTACACTACACACCCGGGGGCGGGGGGGGGGGCATTTCACCAGTGCTGTTAGCCAGGTGGCCTCCTGCAGCTGGCAGCTGTACTGAATGAAGAGGTGTCACAGAGGCGCTCTGTTGCAGGGCTGGTGATGAGTCACCAGCTGTCTCTGGTCTTCATTTCTTTGTCTGTAGAATGGGGACTTAGAGCAGAAGGAGCTGCTGGAACAGAAGGCTGGAGGGAAGGAAGCTCAGGGTGTGGACAGACACGATGTCATTGGGGTTGGACAGAGGACAGAAGGGGAAGGGAGCCTGTCTCTGTAGACTGTGAACTGGGAGCCAGACTAAGGAAGCAGTCAGATCAGCAATAGGAGCAGCGTTGTGCTTGGCTTGGGGCAGCATCCTCTGGGGTCTGCCTCCATCTTTGCATGCCCTTCTTCTCTGTGTTCCTGCTCCTTCCTCCTCTTGTAAACACTGGGTCACTGGATTTAGGGTCCACTCTGAACCATGGAGGATCTCATCTCAAGACCCTTTAATAACTACGTCTGCAAAGTCCCTATTCTATGGGTCACTTTCTAGTGGACATGAATGGGGAACATACAGTATGGTACAGTGGCCAGGGAAGTGACCTGGACGCGGGATGAAGACAGAGAGCTCTGAGGCAGGAAGCACATTAGAAATCAGCTCAAGCCTGTGGCCCACATGAACAGTTAGAGATGTCCCTGCTGGGAGCCCCAAAGACCTCAGAGAACACCAAATAGGCTCCTAAACAAGAAAGTGGCTCCCCATTATTCTAGACTCCTTCCCAAACCGTTCTCCACTCCTTCCAGATGGCCAAATGGCAATGGCGTGGCCAGGGAAGGATGCAGCAAGCCTGGACTAGCTCCACCTAAGCTCCGGGTGGTATGCTGCCCCTAAGTGAACTCAGAACATGAGCATCTCTGGCGCACCTCTAGATGAAGATGCTGGCTGCTCCACTTAGAAGCAACTGACATCCCTGTGTTCTATAGCCTAGAGAGCAGCTCCAACCTCACAGGGTAAACAGAGAGAGTGGCCTGTGAGCTGCTCTACAGTGACAGCCATTTCCCTGTCACCCTGCTCAGGGACTTCAGCCCTCTTCTGCTGGAGCTCCTTTCTCAGCAACCAAGAAAGAAAACTGCACTTACAAAGTTTAGGAACTAGGTGAGCTATAACAAAGAACGCATCCTTCTCCACATTTGAACCTAGCAAGAGTGGGTAAGGTGTGGCTCCTTTGAATTTTATTTTTACCCCAGAAAATGTTTGAAGGTCTACGTATAAATTTCTTCCCAGAAACATCATCTCTCGTTTTAAAATCACATCAAAAGGGAAGCCACTTTCACATACACATAGAAGAGCTCACAAGAGTTGTGCCAGGGCCTGTGGACCACTAGCTAGTGCCCTCGCCATCAAAACAGCTCGCTGACATGGAGTGAGGGGCATCCATGACGCGATGGTACCAAACAGGTAGACTATGCCAGCACATCCCAGTAAGACCTCTGTGTTTAAAATAATGAAAAAGTGTGTGTGTGTGTGCATGTGTGCGCACATGTGTGTGCATGTGTGTGTGCGTGCCTGTGTGTGCACGTGTGTGTGTGCATGTGCATGTGTGTGTGTGTGTGTGTGTGTGGTTGCACACACGACCATAGCACATCAAGGCAGAAAGCAATCCAGCAAACAGACAGTGTCGGCGATCCCTGGGGCTGCAATAACGGGATTTCCCTTTTCCACTTAGGAGCCTTTGCACTTAAAAAAAAAAAAATCAAACAGTATTAGTTTAATCAGCAAAATCAATAAAAAAAAATTCCCAACCTGGAAATAAAATAACTGCTCTAGGTAGACACAAAGTGCAATTGACCCTCAGAGAAAAGCAATTGGAACCAAAATCACCTTGCCATGAAGACACTGAGAATAAAGCCTGCACTAAGCTGAGGAGGATGTCAGCGGTGTGTTGAGAGGCTTGGTGTCGGGGTCCCCGAGCCCATTCACATGTGGCAGCTCCTCCCAGTCTTCACTTTGGTCCCAGTCTTTCCTACATCAGTCTTCTCTTTGCAAATAGTAAGGAGAATTGGTATTTCTTAAACATTTATCTGGTGCCAAACACAACACATATATTCTTTTCTCAGGTGACCATCCCTGAAGGGACACTAGCAGCTGTTGGCCACTGCCTGGCCTCTCAGGTTCCTCTCCCTCACATACGCTCTTCCTGAACCCCCAGCTATGCTATGGTAAGACCTGGGAGTGGCAGGAAGAGAACTGATGGGGCAGCTTTGAGGACTCCTAATGACACATGGGCCTGTTGTGTAGGCCAGGGGCTAACAGGAGACCCACGTTAAGGAGCCCAAAAATTCAAAACCAACAGCAGACTCTGCATGTGGACCACTCCTGCTTTCTAAGTAAGCATGATCAACCTGGAGTGTGAACTGACACAATCACTTTCTGAAAGGATTTGACAGGATCAATTTGAACCCCGGACCTGGCCATTTCACACAGGGCAGCTGCCCAGGAGCAACAGGTACTCAAAGTGCTAGGTTCATCCATTCTCAGATTTATTTAGCAAGAAACCCCGAGCTGCCCAAATGTCTGCCTGTTGGGAGCAGTGAGACCCCAGATCCTGAATTTCTTGTAAACAACTTGTTTTCCCCTGATCTGAGTGCCTACAGCTGCTCTGAGCACGAGACCTTCAGGAGTTCCTGATGGCAGGAGAGTGGTTTCTGGTGTGTTTGGCTGGAGCGTGGCTATCTCTATATAATCTGCCCCTGAACACAATAAAGGGGGCATTCTTGGGGAATTCAAGGATGACCCGTGTCACTGTCTGTCTGTGCGTATCTGTGTATTTTAACCTCCAGCCCCCTTGCCCGAAGCTCGCGAACTGGGTAATAGCGCACCGAGCGCAGACACGGGGGGGGGGGGGGGGG